AGCAATGAACTTGTTTCGAACGGATCATTTGCTTGAATAGAGCAACGAAATATGTAATATAAATGAAATATTTTGTTCATTCTACATCAAGTTGAATTTTCGCCTCTAGATGGCGATCATTTCGCTTCGTCTATATCTGATTCGAATTCATTATATACGTGAAGCCTGATTCTTCGTGTTTGAAATATCAGCTGTATAAATCGAACTTAGGGTGATTAGAAAATCCGAAATAGTTTTGCATCAATGATAACCAAATAGTTTTGAATGAACCAAATATTCCATTGAATCAACCAAATAATTCATTGATTCAACCAAATATTTCTTTGAATCACCCAAATATTTCATTGAATCAACTAAATATTTGGTTGAATCAATATCTTGTTATATTGAATAAAACAAAATGATTGTTTGAGACAATTAAATATATCTTCTCAACAATTTCATAGATCTGCTTTATTGAATTAGATCCAGAGTTCATGCAAGACATATTTACTCAATTCAAACTTCAAATTCGCTCTGAAATAAGATATAGATTTACTCATTTCAAGATTATATTCTGTCGTGCATAATATATGACACTTTCATTTGCTTCATTCAATTCTATTCAGAATTCCGAGTAACAAGTCGGAATTCCGAAATTCAAAAATACAAAAATCTGTGGCACTACTTTGTTGTTCGAATTTTTCCTGTCTGTTATCAATTATTGTATTCATTATCTCACTCCTATCATTTGTGACACATAGTATCGAAATAAATCTATTTCTACCTCCATTTTCAAAATCGATCAAGACATTTGGGAAGTAGAGATGTATATATATATAGTTTATGTAGGTCTATGTCAACTTTCATGACGTCAAAGGTGTACTGAAAATAACTTCAATTTCTCTGTTACAGCATTAGCATTATGTCGTAATTAATTCAATGTAATTTTGGAACATCACTTCACATTTTTCATATTGAATAATAAATCAAACGTTGATGATTTCGTCGAAAGCTCAGATTATCCTACCGATGATGGACACATGCCCGAATTTCATTAGAAAATAAGCACATTTAAAATATGGAGAATAAAAATAACCCACTTCAGTGATACTGTTTGTTTCTCTAGATTTTTTGAGTTTTTTTTCCTTGCCTTTATAAATCAATATGTTATAGTACTATTTCAATATACTCATATCCCCTACGATGAATTCTGGACTGGAATAATTCGAGTCGATTTCACTCGCTTATGACTTTTTGAATTTTTTTTCGATTTGAACTAATTTTTAGGAGAATATGTAATTTTTTGTCGGAATGTTGTCCTGAATTAAGTATAGAGTTGACAACAATATTTCAGCATCATCAGCATTTCTATATATAATGTCTAAAATAGGCACAAATAATACAGCCTCGGATGCTTATATATTTTATTAGTTATTTTAAACCACGTTATCAAGCTCCAACGAAGTGAGAAGCTGCCGTATACCGTCTGTTTAGTGAGCGATATATAAACATTTTAAAAGCAAGGCATTTTTGCAACAAATAGAAATTACTGGGTGATAGTTTCCAACAATTATATTTGGGGAGATTTAATTATCAGAAGATACAAATTATATCGTTATGGCGCACATATAAAACTAACTGAAAGTTTTCATTAACTAGTCAAATACTTGCTGCTCTCATGGAAAACCAACTTTGTCATGCGAAGAACATTTTTGTTGAAACATGCTCTTGTACTTCGAAATAATTCAACGCGCCTTCATAATATGTACAATTTTCATAATAAAAAATTATAATTTGTCAAAATATGATTATATTCTTCTCATAAAATGGTCTTGAAATAATACATGTTATAACAATACTTCATGAGTGATATTCCACAAAAATAGCATTTTATATTCAGAAAAAGTTACAAATTCACTTCACAATGGCCACGCTGTCGATTTTTTTCGAGTTTTCAACATGGTTTCCAGAATGAATTCGAAGAAGGTGACCATGACAGCAGTGATGAACTTTTAGAGGAGCATTTTGACTGTATAGAAGTGCTACCTTCTTTCGAGATGATATTTCTCAAGCAAGCTCAGTTATAAAGCGAGGATAAAGATTCAAAAGAGCCATCTTGAAAAATAGTAGAAATAATAATAATAATTTTTATTTTCCAATGGACACGATATACATGTATAGGAATAGTCAAAAAATAATCAAATATACCTGACAAAGGCACTAATAAATATAGGAAGTGATAAAATATTGTAGAACATAATATAAAGGAGCAATACACAAAGATATACAAAAAAGAGTAAGACACAAAAATTATAAGTACATACTGGTTGAGATGAACTAACATGAATAAAATGAAAACACTAACCCTGTACATGTGGAGCAAAATACTCCTCTAATGTATAGGGGCATTTTTCAATGAGGAAATATTTTAACCTATATTTGAAACTATTCAAGCTCACAATATTTTTGACCTCACGTCACAGAGTAGCTGAGAGGGCTTATGAGTTGATGTTCTCTGCAGTCAGTTCAAGTAGGTAGCCAGCGCTGCCTTGCCATCATCAGATATGACATAACCTATGAATATTATACAAACCTGTATTTTTCGCCTACAAAGTGAGTTGAATTTTGAAACAGAGGCTAGAGAGCTCTGACGTTTGGTCGTTCAAAAAGAAGTTTTATCGAGGCAGAGAGCCTCTGCAATACAGAATTTCTGTTGTATGAATGCTTCATGGAACACGCCAGTTCTACAAGCATTATTCATAAATGAAAGTTTTCATTGTATACTGTATAAAGTCTGGCATTTATGGCATTTGGCTTGAAGTTATAAGAAGCTGTGGAATTTTGCTTCGAAATCATTTAGCACTCAGTATTATATAGCCCTTGTAGAGAATTAGCAAAACTTTGTTATAGTTGAGTCATTTTTTTTAAATATACAGGGTGTTTCATTTTTTTTGTAGCAGGACTTCAACAGCTTGAAGAAGACATTTTTTCAAGATGAAAATCTCAAACAAACATATATGCGTGAGAGCTTCGTTTCCGATTTACATGGTGTCAAAGTTCCAGATTTTTTTATGTTTTTGGAATTTTCTCCTACAATTTTCGGAATAATTGATTGAAATTTGGTACACCTAATACACTTCAAAAACTCAATATTTGAGGCTATTGAGAGTTTTTGAATACCTACAGGGTGATAGACTTTCAGGGGTCGTACCCAATTTGACCCTGTAGAACTTTTTTGCGTGCCGCCTCTGCTTTCAATGGGACATAGATTCAGATTGTCTCTGCTGGGAAACATTCTGCTCCCATGTATGTTTTTCGAAAAAGTGGAATCCGAACCACTTCTAAGGGTACTGATAAAAGTAGAACTGTTTTTCACGAGATTTAATTATTAAAACTCAACACCTCAACCGTCAGAAGCGACAGTCAAGCGATGTATAGCGCCTAGACCGTGTGTCCTAGAATTTTCTACAATACAATTTCAGATTTTGCAATCCAGTTAGAGGAGTTTTTTCAAAATGAAAACATTTTTTCTGTGTTCTTCCTAGTTTCAATTATAATGGTGTTCAAAAAATTCAATCTAATTTTGCAACAGAATTCCATTTGGTATGGAAGCTTTCGGTCATTCTATTTCCCAATAAAATGTTTGAGAAATGTCGAATAAGTGTGTTTGAGAAATAACGGTTTTATTACAAGTAATTTATTTTTGTCATTTATCTCGAGATCCATACAGTATTCGAAAAATTTACATAAAGGCAAAAAGTTTACAAATTGAAAGGACAATCTGAATCTATGTCTCATTGAGAGCAGAGACGGCACGCATAAAAATTCAACAGGGTTAAATTGGGTACGACCCCTGAAAGTCTATCAGCCTGTAGGTATTCAAAAACGCTCAATAGGCTTAAATATCGAGTTTTTGAATACTTCAGGTGAACCAAATTTCAATTATTTATTCCGAAAATTGTAGGAGAAAATTCAAAAAACATATAAAAAAATTAGAAACTTTGACACCCTGTGAATCGGAAACGAAGCTTCCACGCATATATGTTTGTATGAGATTTTCATCTTAAAAAATGTCTTCTTCAAGCTATTAAAGTCCTGCTACAAAAAACTGAAACACCCTGTATACAGGCTTTAACGACACTTATGAATGTACATAATTTGTTCTGTAAGAATAATATCACTAAACCTTTTATAAAGAAATAAAACGATATATTAGGTACCTTGATGAAGTAGACACGTATTTAAGCGCTGAGAGAGTTTTATCAGCAATTTCATTCCACCGAATCTCTTTATAAGCAATTTAGTGATAAAAAATTTGAATCATGTATAGCTTGAGACCTTTCTTGAAGCGCAATTAATATTTATATTGTACGCCACTGGTTTCTTGAAGTACAATATTTTGACAAGATTTAACAATTATTGGAAATACAACTTCCTTGATGCCTGTGTTTGATATATAGGTGCTCCCAAGATATCCACTGAGATTACTCAATAACCTATCAATAAGTATATCAGTATAGCATTTTCAAACGGTACTCCATCCATCATCAATTAGACAAAATTATACAGTCAAAACTTCAACATTATCTATCTCAGAAACGAAGCAAGTTATAAGACACATGTTTATATGGATCACCTCCTAATATGTCTCACGCTAATGTAAAGCCTGCAGTGTGATATTGCAAAATAATTGATAGAATAATGCAACTTTACCTCCTTGTGATTTTTTAACCATAAACTTTCAACCAAGGTCATATTTGATGGCAAATCGTCTTATTTTGATCTCCATTTGATTCCACCATTGCTCACCCCGTACAAACACATCTGCAAATCAACTGCAACTTTCAGCAAACACAAACCTTGTCGAAGATACGCGTCGAAGTTCATTTTCAGTCGAATATCGTAAAATGACATGGGCGATTTTTGTAAGAAACACTTTTACATAATTTTGTATGACTTGTAGAATTGTTGGATTCTTTTCATTATTCTTCTAGTTTTACCCATGATACATTTTTTAGATACAATGTCGGAAAATGCCAGTGATAGAATGTCTCTTCCACCAGACGAGAGTAGTTTGAAAGACTTCGAACCCATGAGGAACGGAAAACATATCTTACCACAACTGGAGATACTGCCGCCTCCACCAAATAGCAACACTAAAAACACGTCACTGGTGAGTACTTGGTTGAAAATAGATAAAACTTCTTTCCTAGTTGAAAATACGCCAGTCAGGCAACCAGCCACTCCCATTTCAACTGAAATGGGATTTTTAGTGTTTATTTCCTTGCCAGGTGGCGTTCGGCGTTCGCGTTCATTTCGCGGACGTTGAACGCCTCGTGATGTATAAATGCTGATATGCGTTTACGTCGGGTCAGGTTCGCACCAGATAGCGGTCAAGAATCTATCTGGGAGAGTCCTGTTATGATGAGAGCCAACAGCTCGAAACCGGTCCATCCATAACAACACAGGGATGTCCTAAGTACGTCCCTTTTTTGTCCCGCGGTACAAGGACATGATTGGGGCATCCAGGGGATGTCGCGCAGTGGTTGTCCAGTGGACATCCCGCCGGGTACATCCCTAGGTTATCCTATTCGTGTCCCTGGAATATCTGATATCCATTCACATCCGAGTCATTGAATTTCATCAAAGTATTAAGTTGCATTTTTTTCAAAATGTTTGTTTTCCTTCCGGAAAGTAATCGTAATGAAAATAAAGAATAAAGTTTCAGAACTTCTTAAGAAATTACCATTTTTCGCAAACAGAAATCGTACATGCATAATGCCCCTCATTTTTAAACACCCAAGAATGATATAATAATTATACCCAAATCCTAACAAAGTTGAATTTATTCAGGTTTCTGTAGTTAACTCCTGTTTATAAATCTGTTTAGTACATAAATCTTCAGGAGGCTCAATAGCCAATGGAGTAAGATGCGCGCCTGATAAGCCAAAGGTCCCGGGTTCAATCCGTACTCGACCTATTTTTTTTCTTTTGTCGAAAGGATGTCCCTGGGATATCCTTGGGACGTTCTAGGGATATCTTTTCTTCGTACTTGGTACATCCCAGGGACGTACCAGAAGGACATCCCTAGGATGCCTCTCTTTGTGGAAAGCGGATGTCCCTGGGACGTCCCTAGTATGTACCATGTCCCGACACAGGATATCCCAGGGACGTCCTCGTAGAAAATATAGGACGTCCCTGGGACGTACTCGTGTTGTTAGGGTAGGTAGTCACGCGTTCCTGAACCACTTAGGCGCAGCTCGGAGTTTAGGAAGAAAACACTTGCGATTTTATTCATCTATACGAATTATTGCATAGATTTTGGGAGGATGTAATCCAATGTTCTGCGTGGCATATAGCCAGGAAATTAGTTGTTTTTCTCTCGTTATCTACCATTTTCGTTAATTTTATGAAATATTGTGGTAATGACTTTGAGTTTTTCTCTAATTGTGACCATTGCATTCCATTTTGAGTATTCGGCTTTTTCCTAGTTGATAGATGAAACTGTTGACAAAAATAATGTTATGAATATGGAGGTGAAATCTGGGTCGGACTATGCACTGCGTCATGGGTGGTGACTTGTACGATGTTTTTCCTCCAGTCGTCAAAATGAATCTTGTATCCAATTATACAGGGTACCCGAAAAGGTAATGTCGTAAATGATAGTGCCGATAGAGTGAGCCGAAATAATGTTAGTTCTTCAAATAAAAAAATGTTTATCGCGCTTCGAGTTATCGACCTAAATGAACGCACACCAATGCTCCTTTCCATACGTACATGGCTTTTCAGTGAATATGTCTTCTACAGGATGTGACGCATTTTTTCCGTTCAATGAAGGCATTTTTGACATAGGTGACAGATTTTACATTTTGCTTCAACGGTTTGATTCCTTCATATTTAACCTACAAAAATGGTATACCTTGTTTTAATCGATATTTTGTACCGTTCCAGAGAAAATCGCATTTTGAAACATTTCATTTCAACCGTTTGAGGAGTAATAAAAGCTCCATTTATTCAATGACATCAGTGAAGACAAAAATATTATGAAAAATAGTTTTCAATATGTGCATCTTGAATAATTCAAACGCACTTTCTAAAGTTGCCTAAACATTCGCATTGTACTCGAGAGTACATTGTGATGATCATTTCTTACGCGTGTGCAGATGTAAGAATTCAATTCAAAAGCTCATCCCTAATAGATATTCACAGTTGTTTTACAAACTTGACATTCAAAATAGCTCCAAAGAGATACATCAAATAGATTAAGATAATGTGACCGAGGTGGCCATGGAAATGGACCATGGGGAAAGGTGATGTTCAAGTGATCTCTTACAGCTTTGTCGAAATGAGGAGGCGCACCATCGTGCATCAGTCACATATTACTCAAATATTCCAAAAAACCTCTTCTAACAACGGACCTGGATGTTCTTGCAAAAAAGTTTGATATTTATCTAATTTTTGAAGTTGAAAAATCTCGATTTATCACATGCTATAACTCTGTATTCATTACTGATAGACCTCAAGTGTTATCGGTCAATAAAATCAGCTCTTCAGGGGGAATACGTTAATGGAATAATATACAGGGTGTCCCATTTGAAACAAAGTTGTTGCTACTTTTGACGCAACACTGAGAGAGATTGAACACAACTAATTATTCAAGGCACCAACTTCTGAGAATAATCCTGAGTTGCGTTCTCCAGAAACGTCTAATGTGCCATCCACCGTGAATCAGCCTGTATGTGTTTTTAAAATGTGATTTTCTCTAGAACGGTACAAAATATCGATCAAAACAAAGTATACCATTTTTGTTGATATAAGATGAAGGAATCAGTGGGAGGAAAATGCGAAATATGTTACCTGTGTCAAAAATGCCTTTTCCGTCGACCTCGTATTAACGAGTAAGTTTAATGTTTATGAAATCGTTCATTAATGACCCCTATTAATGATCAATTTGTCTATTAATGCACGATTGTTTTATAGGCAACCAAACATACACCGCGTGCATTCATTGTTTATGCTATAACTTACGGAATCTGCATATGGATTTCATCGAAGATTTTCCGTTAACGGGTTCGCCTTTCCAAGTTTCTGAAACCATTCGAATCCCTGTTTTCTAACACAAGGAATTTATTTTCTATGTTGATCATTTCGACAAATGTCAAATGTCACTAATGTCAGTAACAAGGCAACTGGGTGATTTTTAGTAGTTTCCGGATGAATGATGAATTCGCGAACCAAGTTTTCTTCATTGTAGGAGAAATGAGAAATATAGTCGACGGAAAAATTTTGTAACCAACTCGTATATTAAAAGGCGATTAATGATCTCGAACATTAATCGCCCTCATTAATACACTAGTTGGTTAAATAACTTTTATTAAACGAAAACAATTTGTCAGATCCTGTGTACCAAACATATTCACTGAGAAGCCGTTTACATATGGAAAGGAACATTAGTATGAGTTTAATTACCTGCCCGAATATCATTGATACCATGGCAACCGTTTGAAAGTTATACATACATTTTTTTTTAATTCTAACTTCCAAGGTCAATAACTCCGTAATGAACCCAATCAGCACGAATACGTTTTTATGGACGTTTTATAAACGGCCACTCTGAACATTCACGGACGTCTTATGGACGTTTTGGGGACGTCCATTGTTAATAATCAGGATGTTTCGAGGACGTCCATTTCAGGTCCAGATTTGGACCTTCTTGGAATCAAAAATAGACGTATAGAGGACATTCTCAGATTATATTCATTGTTTATTTTCTGACCCATCTCGAGAGTGAAATACTTCAATATTAGTATACATTTATTCACACAGTGATATATATTTCAACATTACTATATAAGTTGGTACAAATCAGTTGAAATCACCAATATTTCAAATTCATAACAATAATAATGAAATGAAATTCAATATAATTGATATAGCTGACATATATTTTTTAGACATCCTTTATATCTTTATTCAATTCATTAATTCTGATCTTAATATTAATAAATACCTACCTACTATTTATTGAAACTTATATACCGTAGGAGTCTGTAAATTAGACGTTTCAGAGACTTCTTCTTCCAAACGTCCATACAAGGTCCTGGACGTTCAGACCAAAATTGGACCTAAAATGGACGTCCTCGGGACGTTCCGTGCTATCTGGAAAGCGCGATTGACATTTTTTTATATGAAGTACTATAATATTATTTTGACTCACTCTATCAGCCCTATTGTTTATGACATAAACTTTCCGAACACCCTGTGCATGAAATCTGTAATTCAATTCTCAGTTCTTGGGTTTACCCTCGAGTTCACCTGATGAAAATTCATTCGAGTGATGTGAATTATCACCAAGCTCAAACCTCCCAACCCCAATTTCCCATTAGGACTATTAACAAAACCAATGAGGCTCTAAATTGGAAGGATGACTGGTAATTGCCTATTAATCGAGAATTGAAATTCCTGGAGCATAATAAAACAGCAGGGTAAATTATAGGAAATGATTATTTGGATTCAAAAAATAATATACCGTGAACGTTATTCATAAATGAATGATTGAATTTTATACATGCACGAAATGTCATTCAGTAATATGTTATATGTATATGTTAATACCCATCGAGGGCTTTGTTCTGAGTACCGATCCTCCAGAAATAAATGAAGAATACTGCTATCAGTATATAGTTTGGGAGTTCAGATAGAACCTAAAAAACTAAGATGACAGGTTCCTATAACGATCTTTCCTTACGTGCCCACTAGATGCATGAAAATGCAGATGATTTTTGTCAGGAATATGTTGAAGTTCTCGACGTTTTTTTGCGCTCCTCTCGTTTTCTTGAATTCATGGGTTAATTTTTTTTGTTTTGTTTTGAATTGACTCGGCCGTTACTTGATGGAAATCCAAGACAAATGTAAAAACAAACGTTAAGATTTCCACAAAATTCTCAAACACACGACATGTTTCGCTAATACAGTTGCTTCGTCAGGTGATATACTGGTACAATGAACTAATCTAACCTTCGCTTGCTTAACTTTTATATATCCTACTTTCTAACCTGAAGTATTAGTTACCTGTGGACAGGTACGATAAACCTTCATTATCGGAAATTATGCACAATATCTACATTGAAATACGGTGTACCGGATTAACTTGAAAGGGTTGATAGCAAATACATATTACCTACAAAGAAAACAAATTCAACAGTGGTAAACTATTGAGGTCTAATTAATCGTCAAGTAAAATGTCAGAATTTTTGAGTTTGTTGATTTCTAATGATTCAAAATGATTGAGTTCCATTCCTTTATTTTCTACGTGTAGAATTTCGAAATTATCATCAACGCGGATTAATGTTCCTATTATACTTACTCCCGCCGAAATGTTTTTTTTTTGATAAGTTTCGCGAATCCATTCCACGAACTTTAGACAACAGATTATTTGTAATTTCCTCCCATTTTTTCCGCATACTACCTATGCCTATACCTATGCCTATAATTGATGCGATTCTGTTGAAGTAGGTAGTTAACTCATAAATACGTGCAAGGCAGAACTCTGAAAACTTTTTCCATATTGTATTGAAGCTATTTCATTGGAGAAACGTGGTGAAATGGGGTTCCCGTTCACTCTTACTAATTTTTCTTCTCCAATTTGATAATTCCGTATTCATTACAGTCGAATGCAGAAACGTACGCATCTCCCCTCAGTGACGCCATTGCAGCTGTCAGTACAGGTGGTGGTACCAACTGTCTCCCTCCTCCAGGTGGCACACTTTCCGCCCACCACGAGCTGCAGCTGATGAGGGAGCAGCTCGAGCAGCAGAGCCAGCAGACACAGGCAGCGTTGGCGCAGCTGCAGCTGGCGAGAGAACAGCTAGCTGCCGAACAGGTAAATAGCGCAGTTCGTGAACCAGGAGGTAGTTATATGGATAATGAGGTTAGGTTAGTTTCCATGTGTATGGGTTGCGTGCAAGAACTGTCAGATGACCGACCCTGCATGTGAATCATTGAAATACAACCCCACTTTTCTTATTTGTTCACAAATGATTGAAATAGTTTTTCACAATTATTTTGGCACACGCGTTTTTCGGCTATTCATTGATTAGCACATGTCATCACATTGTGCTGTTGTACAATGCACAAAAAATGCAGTGAGAGACGAAGGAATCCGGTTGGTACATTATAATTTGAGAGTAAGCACCAACTGAAGTCATTCACATATAGTTTCCATTTTGAACTTTGGGAATTTCTCTGATTTCTCATTGGAATACCTTCTGCAATAGGAGATAATAGAAATACCCGTAAAATTTCTAAAAGAATGCAAGAAGATTGGATTCATGCTATCAAACAGGAGGACTGGGCTGACCTGCTGACGAAATATGATCTTGTGTGTTGTAGACATTTTCACTCTATTGGCAGTATTAGCTTGTATTGCAGAAGTAGCAGAAGGAATTTTGATAAAAAATTACAAAATTTTTATAATGAAGACTATGTGAGATAACTATTTACCTGAAAAATCATATTCCTTCGTCTTTCTCTGCATTTTTTGTGTATTGTACAACAGCACAATGAGATAAGGCATGTTTGAATTAATGAATTGCGCAAAAAACAGGATTAGTGTGCCAAAATATTGTGAAAAACTATTCCAATCCTTTGATTCCTCTGTGAACAAATGAAAAAGTGAGGTTGTGTTTCAATGTTTCACAGAAAAGTGAAGTTGTGTTTCAATATTTCACCATCAGGGTCGGTCATCGTGCACGCGACCAATAGGTTGAATACGGTCCGGATGGTCTATTGTGGCTCACCCCTAGAGGTAACAGTTGACTGTATATTCCACTTCCTTCTACGAAGACAATGGTTGCATAAGCTGAGATCTTTTTGAAATCGGTAGGTTCTATATTGGTGAAACCATATATGTTGAACCCTATAGTCTCTCTGAGCAAGAACATGAACATGAAATGTGCTCAGCCGTTTCGTCCTTCCCACAGCCAAAACAACAGTGTGTTTTTTGGTTCATACCCATTCTTCCTAGGAGATATTGGATATATTAGTAGTAGTAGTAGCCTTTGTTGGCCATGTAAAAATACATAGTACAGATGGCAGGTCATAGATGCACAAGCAAAATACATAGTAGTATAGATAACAATTATAAAAATTGTGAGCTTAATAAGCTAGGTATGATAGTGATAACAACACATATGGGATAAGAATCATTCATAAACCTCTGTGAGAAATAAATTATTCAATAGAATAGAAAGCGTTTTTTATGAGGAAGTATTTTTCGATGGTTCAGGCAGGAACGCTATCAGACTAGTCAATACTGGTAATTCAGAGACCAGTAGGTACATACATACGTGAGTCTTTTCTTCCGCCGCCTAGTCCGAGATAGTCGTTTTGGCCAACACTTTTCGTGGTGACATCAAAGTATTGTTCTAGTTCTTTAAACACAGATCGGTTCACTGTTTTCTCGTTGCCCTCCATCTTCTGCTATCTGGAAAATCACTGCAAAGTTACTATGTTTTTGCACTTCACACGAGATCTGAATTCATTTTGCTGGAGCTTAGTGCTTCAAGAGCAGCCTGACTGTCTGATACAATACTTACTTATTTACTGGAGGTTTTTTTTGTGATGCTGCACAGAATAATTCAATAGCGGAAAATGATGACGGATGGGAGTTTAGTGTGACTAACTGGTTTCATATAAATTAATAATGATACTTATTCAAGTGGATATAAAATCTCCACAATAAACCATTGTAGAGGAACCAGGTAGCAAATATATAGATGTTATCAAACGATTTTCCTGAAATGGATTTTGGGTGGAATGAACTCTATCTGTTGAAGTATGTGTGTTGATTCACGCCTGTACAAAGGAAGATGCTGGCAAGCTTCATACCGCTATCTCTTGTACAGGAGAAGTCAACAAATTTTTATTAATTGGTTGAGTTCTGATCCTTACTAAAATTAGCCGCTCTCGAATGTCATCAGTTCTTTTGTCTTAAACCTGATGATCTTTTTTGATCTCCTTTGATAAAGAGATGCACTTTCACTCATCTTTAAGAATACGACATCGCCAGACTCGTTAATTATGCATATTATGATCTGTTAGGTTACCTACTCGGCGGCATTAGAATTAGCTTTCCTCGTTTTATTTTGGTTTGTGATCTGTAATTGCTATTCATATATCGAGGGAGCAGAGGTATTCATTTCCTCCCGCGTGTGAAGTTTGATGCCCGAGGCGTAGCGGTGGGAGAGGAGGAAATGAACCTTTGCTCCCAAGATATGAATGATTTTACCCACGAATGCATATATTTGAACGCGTCGATCCAAATCAATGTGTTACAAAGGAGAAGTATGCCATGGAATCTGAATGATAATCAATTTGATACTTCTGTCATATTGAATTTGTTTATTGTGTAATTGTTTTTGGAAGTTTCGATAAATAAGTAAGTTTGGAATATGAGGAAGTGTATGAGATCATTGGGATTCCAAAAGAAAATAGTTATAAACCTAGAATCTCAAGACTAAGAGATTCGTGAAAATTTCGTGAATCGATTGTCAGCTGATGCAAGACAGACTGTTTCGACTTGCCATAAGTCTCATCAGTTGCACTGGCCAGCTGACAATCGATTCACGAAGGGTACCTCCATATATCAAACAAGTCGAAGCCCTGAGGTGGCAGAAGGACGATCTAGCCTTCATAGCCATCTAGTGGCTTAAGTGCAAGGTGTATAGGTAGATTCAACAATCATACCTTGCGACTAAGTCGTGCATATAGACCCCTACGTCTATATGCACGACTTAGTCGCAAGGTATGATTGTTGACCCCTACGTCTATATGCTTACAGAAAAGACATCCATGTCAGATTCTGTAGACTATCGCATCACCTGTAATTCTCAAAGTGGTTTATTAATGTTCCACTAACAGATGGTGATAAACCTAGAATCTCAAGACTAAGAGATTCTAGGGAAATTTCGTGAATCGATTGTCAGCTGATGCAAGACAGACTGTTTCGACTACAGGTGTTGCGATAGTCTACAGAATCTGACATGGGTGTCTTTTCTGTGAGCATATAGATGTAGGGGTCTATATGCACGACTTAGTCGCAAGGTATGATTGTTGAATCTACCTATACACCTTGCACTCAAGCCACTAGATGGCTATGAAGGCTAGATCGTCCTTCTGCTCCCTCAAGGCTTCGACTTGAAAATAGTTATGTTTTATAGTAGTGATGGAGACACTGATTAGCTACTTGGATAGGGGAGCCCACCTCTCGAGAACATTGTTTTGGACCCAGAGAGTCTGAGAAGGTTAACGTTCAAAAGGCTGGCTTGTTTCGCTCGCGAAATCAGTCATGAAGACTGAAGCAATTCCCAACAGAGGTGGACGTAAAAATCCACAATGTCAAAATGTCAATGTCAATGTTCCAATATTAAATGAGCACAATTTGAAATTCTAGAAAAAAAAGACTGATCAATGATCGAAAATAAGTCTCAGGCTAACTTCAAAGTTCGTTATCTTACAAAATAATTTGTTTTCGACGAAAGCGCATTCTTTCATTTCGTTGTATATTTTCGATTTCTATCACCCAATTTTGTCCATCTTCTTATTGCCTTTGGCTGCCAAAAATGCTTATCAACTTTTTTCGCGGTAGAGTGCAAGACTGGAGGCGCAAGCCAGAACCCATCAACTTCTTGTCCATAACCGGGAGTTGTTGGACCACATAGCGGCATTGGTGGCGCATCTGCAAGGGGACAAACCTGGCCAGCAACAAACTCCACCGCACATGACTTTGCCTCAGGTGAGTAAAAGCCGCAACCTTTTTTTTTTCAATTTGAGACCGTGAAAGAGAGGCCCGATGGAATATCTTTACCTCTTATTCAAAAGAGTGCAATAGCGCTATCCAATGGTCACTATATGAACTACATCTTGCCATTTCCAGCTAACGCGACAGGTATGTGGAATCTTCAATAATGACATTTCGAACCAGGCTAAATATGTTCGACCAAATACAGAAATATTTAATTGATATGCCTGATTATTCATAGATCAGTCCTGATGATTGTTCGAACTTCAATAGAAATATAAACGGGAACGCAGAATAGCCATAGCATGAACCATTGTTTTCCTGGAACGAAACCACAATATCAAGATCATTCCATCTGTTAGGGTGATTCAATTATTCATCTTTCAGTTGAGCTTTATCGTGGGATCAAGCTATCGATGTAGCTCTAATCGGAATATTCAATGACAACATCGAGTAAAGTAGGTACCTTTATTTTGAACAATATCGAAAATTATTGAAAGAAAAGTGGACTACAATTGAAAACTACGTTCAAATATTTGATTACATCACATCGGTTTAATTATTTTCAACAATGTTTGATTGATTCATATGGAAAACTATTTCATTATTGATTTTCCGAAAAAATGTCATGATTCATAACAAGTTCTGCAAGGCCTGAACCCGAGAATGTAAATATCAAATATAAAATTTGTTAAGTCGTATGTCAGCAAATTGTAAAAAATCATAAAACCTGACTTTCTTCGTAGCAAGATGTTATCAGATATTTGTACGTTGTTGTCGATTCTAGTCTTTTCTCAATAAAAATTCTCGATATTGTCGAAAATGAACTTTACTCTTGAAATTAATGTTTTTTTACATATGTTTATGCAGAGTTACCCCAATTGTCAGCAGGACTGGTTTGACCCACCAGGTATCATCAGCCGCTCTCGGTCTGCTGATAACTGGAACAACTCTACGCTTCGGGTATATCACCCATTTCGAAGACGCAGGGTATAACATGAAGTTACAGTGATGTTGTAGCCATCTAGTTTTCATTGATTGCATTTTGTTCATATCAGCAGGCTCATCCGATCTTGAGTTGAACTATTTCTCAGAGAGATTTTTACAGTCTTTACTTTTGAAAAAGATCTTTCTGAAGACGCAGCTGATGCCGAAGTATTATTTTCAACTTACTATATGAAAATGAATCATTCAGTTTCAATGGGAATGTAGTGTCGGCACTGGCAATTGTCATATTCCATAAATTTGAATAGTTGAATCATTTCACAATTAGAGTTTTTGATGTAGGAGTGTTTGGAATAATAATTACTTGATGTTCTGGTTCTAGTACGCCTGTGTACACCAACGCGAGGTTTCTCGGTATAGTAGTTAAACCACTGTATTTTCTTCAGGGTACCTACAAAATTTCAGAGTGATGTATATCAAGAATATTGACGTAATCAAGAAAACCCTTTATATTTCAGATATGGAACTTATTTATTGAAAAATTAAAACTCCATTATTCTTTCGAGATCATTCAGATTCTCAATTAGATCCTAAAAAACTGGATCGACCCTGTACATGTGTGATCAAATAAGATTCATCTGGATCGACAGTTATAACGAGATTTCTCGGGCCTCTGTTTCTCGAAATTGCTATCCTAAATATTCCCAGCTTACTGAAATTTTATGTGACACGTCAGACACGCGCTTTCAAATAACGTTGGCACTCAACCAGTCTTGAATAGATGTCAATAATTCATCGATTGTTGAGGGTTACGCTATACTGGCACTATATCACTTTCAGCTCGGAATAAAGCCATAGGAAATCAGATTCACTGTGGTTCGAAACTCTTTTACCCACTTGAAACCAAAGAATAAACGTCCAAAATATTTTGATCCAAATACAGGATAATTCAAACTTCGATGTGCATATTTTGAGGATATAATATCGTATAGATCAAAATAAGCACTAAATGTTTTTATATGAATATGTGTCCTAACCCAGCAAACATTTTGATAAGGGACATTAATGGCCTTATATATTTTCCCCATACCTGACATCAGCGGACCAGTAAATGGTCCCATATGCGGGACTCTGTATATCAGTACACTGCGGCCGGCAGCTGGTCCCTGTGCTGGGTATCCAGCAATCATATTCAGTTCCCCGGCAGAAGGCCAGTTCAACATAATCGATACATTGAGTTTTCCATAGCAAGCCCAGCACATAGATACATGAATGATGAGACTGTTATGGCCAACTATCGACATTGGTTACATACTATCGAAATAGGGGATGGGTAGGGGTTTCAGGAGTTAGATGGATCTGAATGTTCTAGTGACTCTATATTTCAACATGAAACACTCTCATATCATATCTAACAGACACATATCAGATTCCAAGGAGAATATTTATGAATAACACAATATCTTCTTAACCTCTCTTTTCTTCCATGCTTGAACTTCTCAGATTAACTGCTTACCAGCTAGTATCTTCATCTTATTTAGATATCATTACTCCTTCAAAATGGGTTCTCCGTTGCGTGGTAGGTACTCCTGAAATATAAAATTTTTCATCAGTAATTAGTGGCCTTTTTTGATACCAGAATTATTCCTCCATAGAAGTATGAGCTGAAATACTGTTGCATGAGTTCATGACTTGATCAATATAGTCTGATGACGTGATAACATATTTTCAATTCTCATTATTTTTTTGGCACATTCATTTCTGTAGTTGAAACCTTATTGTTATTCACTCCTATGATAGATAGGTTTACATAACCTAAGATCACTTCTGGTAGCATCGAATGAGTTAATCATTATAGTTATGCTTCTAGAGAGATAGAGCCACTTCAATTATTATGATCACTAGGTATATGAGGTAATGAGACACCAAACACATGCATTTCATAAGGAAATTTGAAACACTAGATAAGTAGATTGATTCACACTCGATATTATCATAATTGAGGAATCCATCTTCTATATTATCAATTGAGAATACTCCTAGCATCAAAAATATTGATCCAAATGATTGGCTGATTGTTGATGTAGTGAAGTAGTGAACAGCATATTGGCCAGCAAAGGGCCACAACTCGTTGGTGTTCAACTGGTTCCAGACATCTCACCATCACGAGGCCTCCATCGTATTTTTAACTGATGGTTACATAGCATAGGGAAATCATCTCCCCCATTACCAATACCCCGGCATTGTCACTTTCCCAGACTTGCCTGCACTAGGCCATATACTTCTCCCGGTAGTTAAATGATTGCTGGGAAAATGCACCCTCTGTGAGGGTATACCGCCCTCCAACTTGCTCGAAACTAGGTGAACAAAATGTTTGATACCAAGAAGAAGAAGAGTGCCTAACAGGGACATGCCAATTTCCAGGCGATTTGATCTATTATGATCACAATTTCAGATATTTTTTTTACCCAACTTACAGTAGCTGTAGCTCAGAGGAGTGTATTTTGGGACACATGTTCACATGAAGAAGAAGAAGTCCCATTCCCATCAGATAATCCTAGAACACAGGCATCTTGAAATTTTATCTACATATTTCATCTGAAAGATTCTAACATTTCACTGAATTCGTAGAAAATTGATGACTGAAGAAATAAAGTTGTGTCTGTTACTATAATGAAGATACCAACCGTATATCTTTTCACAGTGTTACTGTGAATTCAATCGTCGTTAGAGTATCTTCGTTGTGTTGTCCAATCAACTTGGTGAACCACTCAATTAAATGAGGATCCGCTCTCGTGGAAATCTTGTGAAATTTGGATTAGTCTATTCTCAAACTATTTGCATTTGCATGAGTTCGTCGCTGATGTCCTAACTAAACTGCTCCACATATGAAGTGAGACAAGCAAAAACTTCTATCATTTTCGAACCGTCATCACTTTGGAGTGGATCAACCAATTTTCAATTCCTTTCAAGATTCTGATAGCTCATTCCATTGGGTACAACGTCAGTATTTTTTGTTATTCCACCTTTCTGACATGAAGACCTACTGGGTGATATCTGAAAATGTGATAATTTTCGAAAAGTTTGGGATCACCCCGTTTCACCAGGAATTTTTTTAAATTGTTTATTGAGGGCGATAAAATGACGAACAATGAGTTTTCTCGAAATGGTTTTGAATTCAAGAGGATTCATACAGGATGTTTGAATGTATGGAATTTTTCACAACAGATTGCATTCTAATATGTTCAACCACCATAAACTCAACAGAATTTTACATTGGCATATCTACAACGTCATTACTACACAATGTGTTGTACATTTTCGAAAATTGGGGATGTAGAAATAAATTGAAATATTACGAAGAAAATGCCGTTAATAATAATTATTAACACAATATTTATAATGAAAAAATGATGAGTGTATAAAATTGACATGGGGCGGTAGCATGATGAATCGTTGCCCCACGTTGGTTATTTTGAGAGAGAGTATGAATAATACTCTTCGGTATCAATAAGACATTCATATTGTGTAAGGGAAGTTGTCGTTCCAGTTGCCCAAACTTTTGGTGACAATTTCATACTGGTAGATGATAATGATAATGAACTACCACATCGTGCGAGACTTGTCACTGGAGTTTGAAGACAACATAATATTGCTTACTTTTTCTCTGTCACACGTCTCATGGGGCATATGGAAATTTCGAACGAGAATATCTTCGTAATCGTTCGAAATAACTCTCTCAAACCCAGTATTGTTGAATTCGTTATGATAATTCCGAACCACATATGGAAAGAAATACAGGATGTCCCATTTGAAAATTGAAAGATGGGGTCGTTTCTGGTCAAATCGGGAAGAGATGGGAGAGTATGGAATTTCGAAAAATTGACCAATTCTCGAATTCTACACCCCTGCCAAATTCGAATCTCATACCTCTGGAAATCTGGAAACCATGACTTGTCTGAAAAATTCGATGATACCTGGTATGTTTGAAAATGTATAACACATTGTATAGTGATAGCGTTGAGCAGGATAAGCTAATCAAAAGTTCTGTTGAAGTTGAGTTTAGTTGGTTGAACATCAGAATGCAAAATATTGTGAAAAATTCCATGTATCACAACTTCCTGCATGGATCGTCCTGAATTAAGAAGCATTTCGAGAAATTATGTTTCATCTTATCGCCCTCAATGAAACATAATAAAAATCCCTGCCAAACGGAGCGATCTCAAACTTGCCGAAAATTGCAATATACTGTGAAAAATTCCATACATCGAAACATCCTGTATGAATCCTCTTGAATCCAAAACCATTTCGGGAAAACTCATTGTCCTTCATTTTATCGCCCTCGATGAAACTTAAAAAAAATTCCCGGTGAAACGGGGTGATCCCAAACTCTTCGAAAATTATCACATTTTCAGATATCACCCTGTAGGTCTTCATGTCGAAAAGGTGGAATAACAAAACAGTCCTGACGGTTTACTCAATGGAATGAGCTATCAGAATCTTGGAAGAAATTGAAAATTGGTTGATCCAATCCAAAGTTATGACGGTTTGAAAATGAAAGAAATTTTTGCTTGTCTCACTTCAAATGTGGGGCAGTTTATTCAAAGCACTTCCAGCATGTTCGGTGTTGTTTTCAGTGTAGTGAAGTGTGTTTCTGCTTTAAGTATTTTGCCGCAGCTGAACCACTCCAATGCTAATAATCCGGAGATGTTTCGTATATTGTGTGCAGGTCTTTACGAAATCTCTGGATAATAATAACCATCTGCTTCTGGACCTGCTCTCCAGCTCTAATTACTAGGTAAATATAATGTAGATAATATATTTCCTTCATGGAGTTATCGAAATGAGAATTCTAGAAAAAAAATCAGATAGTGCTATGAAATATACCAATATCTGAATTGTTGTAGACAGTGTGTCCCAGATATACGTATCATTATTTCAATGTCCCATTTTGATCGAAATAAGCAGGAAAAGTAGTAACTCACAATGTAACGGTAATTCAATTGGGACTGTTTTAAAATACGAACTCGACGACCAGGGTTTCTAGTCTTCAAATTTTCGCGAGAAACATAAGATTATTTACTGCAAAATGTATTTCAGACAGTGGACGTAAATATCCTTCAGAACAAGTATAGACTATGGAATAATCAACACAGTTGGAGAATTTTTCCTGTATAGTATTTATAATATTATCATATGAGTGATTTTCCTGCTATATTGAATCAAGCTGAAATTTCTTATATTGAATATTCAACGTTACTTGATATTTGTTGCAATGTTAAGATATCAATGCGGGAATAATCAATTTGATAACATCACATTCATAATATTACTGTGCGTTAAAGTTCTGTGGTTTCTGCAACCTTGAAGTAAGATATCATAACATATAGATTCTGTCGCAATATTGCTAAAATACCCAGGCAACCATATGACGAATGATCACGTCACTGTGACGTCCCTAATTGGCGATTTTTCGTCTGAGATGTTACACACCAATTTATGAAGTCACTATGATGTACCTTCCATAACGTGAGAATCATCTCATCATCTCGACATCGAGTGAACGTCACTTAGAAGGGTAATATAAGACGTCAGTTTCATGACGTTGCAGATACGTCCATGTTTCCCAGACCATATCTAAACCATGTATATTTGTGAAACCGTTAGTTTTGTGACGTACCAATATATTCAGGATGGGCATTTTTAGTGTCGAAAAAGTTTTCACAAAAAAATCGTTTTTTCATTAATTTTACACACATATATAGAAACTTGTACGTCTTGATAATATTATATATATGCTTCTAACGACGATAAATGACAAATCAACATGCGTGTTCTATTGGAATTATATATATCCAGTGATATATCAAAAGTGAGAGAAAACTTTTTTCAAACTCTGACACCCTGTATATCTTGGAAACCAATCAAGCTATATATTGTTCTAAAAATTTGTTCTAAAGTTGTTCTATCCGTCATTCGGTTGCCCCCTTACGAGCAACCCCTCAGAAGTCTTCGAGAGTCTTGTGCGACCAAGGAATGACGGGGGCCTTACCTTTCAACGTGTGATCCCAAACACTTTCTTGGGCCATCAGAAAAATTTCTGAAGTCGTTGGGAATCGAACCCACGACCGGCAAGCGAATGCGAATTAGAATACCGACACTCTCTCCGCACGGCTACCTGGCCACCTGAATATATACAAATGATAATAGGTTCATTCGGGTTCCGATTTCAGAACTATTCAAGAATCGTTCTCGAACTGCGCAGAACTAGTGCGCAGTCGTTTCGAATCCGAGGACTGTTTCAGAACGGTTCACAAATCATGAAAACCCGAACACGGCAGAAGAGGAACTCTGTGAACATAACCTCTATTCAGAATTGGCGAAAAAAAAAACAATAGTTTGGATCCTGTTTCCATTCGAATAATATGGTGAATATATTCCAGCATATCATTCGTAGCTAGATTTCCAATATGTTTTGTCCCTTATACCTACATGAATTTCGACAACCACCTGAAATGTTCAATGAATTGTGTATTTGAATATAATGGCAAAGTCTCCCCAACATAATCCTCTAATTTTCGGTTTATCTAACAGAAGTTTGAGAAATATCAGATTATCAGATTAGGTAAAACATTTTCAGCAACTTCAGCAAGTAGCTTCCTGCTTCCTGAAGATGAAGATCTACTACTATCAAATGAATGTACTAACTCCATAATATTGAGAAAATATTGAAAAGAGAAAGAGCAATAATATCGTTATGACGTTACGCTAAAACAGACAGAATCTAAAACTAAATGACATGAGCATGCGCCAGAAAAATTCCTAGAACGGTTCATGCTCAAGAGCAGGTACTGGTTTTGGATAGTTCTAGGACCGTTCCAGGACGATTATGGAAAAACCCGAACGCGTAAATAGTCTGTCCTAGAACAGTTCCGCAAAACCCGAACGCGACCGATTCTACTGCGCAAATTCCTGACAGTTCTAGAACCGTAATATTTCGAACCCGAATGAACCTAATATAGGTGTACCTATACTGAAACCGTCACTTTGATGACGTTGCAGTGACGTATCTATGACGTCTAAAAATAACGTCGGTGTGACGTACCAATTTGGATACAAATACGAGTAACTGATTTCATTCTGATGGAGATGCGTACTGAGGGGTAGCAATGCTGAAAAAGACGATTGAATGGACATGACACCGGAGGGACCACCAAGCAGACTCAACAATGCATAATCAATATTATATGTCATCAGAGGTCAGTGGTGATTATCACAACATGTTTCGAGTGAGTGAATGACGTCAATAAACGTGAGTAATATGACGTCATTGGGCTGTGACTCATTCACGTCATTTATCACGTCATACGACGTCAACTCCTGACGTCACCTTGGTCATTCAACTGACGTAAAAACCAGTAAGAAGACGTCACTGAAACGTGATCTGGTTGCCTGGGTATTACTTTGTTTAGTCGAATGGCACGTATATCTGTAACACTCTTCATAATAGCAACGTGATGACATAAGTGTAGGTGCCCCAATAATAACTAGCAATGGAGAAGGAATATATTATTTCGAATTTTACATTATTCATAATAAGTATGATTCTGATAAATATCAGTCCTAACGAACTCACATTCAATTGTCAATAATCATAATCATAAAACAGGGTTAGGCAATTCAATGGGAAGGTTTTCAATAGGTTGCGATAAACAGATAATACCTATATTTCGTATGATTGTTACCAGAACTAACATGTTTTCAAATCTCAGTTTAATATTATCACATTTCTTGAAAGACCGACACATTCTTCAACGAATTGCTATAATTTTGTTCCTGGGATTGGTCATAACCTTTCGGGGTAACATTCAACTTTTAGCAGATTTTTTTCTGCATGACAGAGTATACCTCTGATAGATTTTAACAATCCCACAGGAATAAATCCAGAACTTCAAGGTCCAGAAATTTTCATTAAGAACTGGGTAAAGATAATTTGATTTTCATTTGAAATTTGTCGGAGAAAAATATTTTTTTCATAACCGTCTTATCATGTTGGTTGGTTCTGTATTTTAAATGATAAATAACGAAAAATATTTCGTTGAAAAGTATAGGTAACAATTATTGATAATTATTTCTGACCACATCTTTATTTATGTCAATTTGAGAATCACCGAGATTCTTCAATTGATATTCCAAAATTTGGTTCATTCAAAGATTCATTCAAGGAATTTGTTAGTAAATATACTAAGGTTGCTTTCGATGAAACTTGAATTCTACTTCCTCAAATCAAATCTACTACTCGCAATATAGGTACTAGATGTTGCCTTGTTCGAGTTATGCAGCCATCTATCAAACCCACTTATCACATGACCGATAATGTTGGTTACTACTTATACCTATACTTATTTCAATTCTGAATATATATACATCAGTACCTATTCGATAATTTGTAATCTCGACTCCTTGACTCACTGAAATGAATATGTCCATCCAATATAGAGCAATAGATGTACTACAAAATTAACATCAAGACTGCTACACACTCTGATGAAATTATAACATCAGCTCTAATAAGTAACTGAAACTTTTCAATAACTTATTGACAATTTATGTGACTCCTGAAGGACATTCGGAATCTCTTGGATGTGACTAATTTGATGTCATTTCTCTATCAGCACACCGAGTTGGCCGGAAACTGCGTTCAAGAAATCTCCGATTCTCCAACATCGAGCAACAGCCCTCTACACCCAGCATTCGGTGTACCCCACCAAAGCCTAATGGACCACAGAAATATCTCCTGTCTGCCACCGAACTCGCCACAAAGGTCTACTTTCAGTCCCAACGGAACCGTTTTCAATTTCTCTTACCCCCACCAGCTGATCCCAGAACCTGACCCACAGTTACTACAGAGACTGCAAGGTTTCAGCGGCTATCAGCTCCCAACACCGTTACAGTATCTTTATCCTCAACCAATGCCCTATTTGCCTACAAACCTTTATAATCCGCCGCTTCTGAACAACAACTATACGCTACAACCACCTCCGCAAAAGAAAATTCCTGCTTCTCCGCTATTGTTGAGGAACTCGTACAGTGGCACAACTGGTACAGCAGCGGAGGCTGGAATCAATTCTAGGAACAGTGAGCCTAGGCAACTACCCAATCAGTACCAGCAAAGTACTGGCAACCTTCAGAATCAATCACAGTATTATTCCAATAGTCATCAGCATCAGAGTCAATCGCTCGCTGACCTCAACCAACAAAATACACCACTCGGTAGTCATTCCGATGCTCATAGACAGAATGTACCAACAAACGTCAACCAGAACGCCAATCTTCAAGTTCAACTGAACCAAAGGCAACAAAGAGACTCTAGTCCGAAGCCTAATGCTTCCACAGTGGACAAAACCACTGGTCAGTTCATTAAGCCTTTGCCACAAATGGGCGCTTTGACGACAACAGATCCTGACGGTAGGGTTAGAGTGATTGTGCCGGTGCCTTCCAATTCCAGAGATGACGTCAGCGATTTGCTGGCAAATTTCAGGTTTGCTGATACGCTCAGACCGCTCAACGGCCCAGGCATCACAAGGACGACAAGTGAGAAAGTGCCGAACAGGAGTGAGTTGATGTCTCAGGTCCAACGCACCGCTTGGGCTCGACACACGACTAAATGAATGCGTGAAACACTAATATTAGTCCAATAAACGAATGTATCAACCATGAAATCAGATAGATCCCATACTTTGTTTTTTTTATTTGTAGTTGTTCATGGGTAGATTACACTCTGAAAAAACGTCCACCTGAAAATTACTGGATAGGCGGGAAAATGGCTCCATGGTCACCAAAATCCGTTTTTCCCGACTATTTCCACCAACAATAGCTAGAATATGTCACTAAGGCAATTTGTGTTTAAACACAGAAAAAGAGTAGTTTATTACCCACAAAAATGACGCATATTATTTTCGTCAAGAGCTCCACAGTTTCTGAAATAAACGGGCCAAGAGTGTAGCTTGAATTTCGAGCTGCTGCGCCGCGTCTCGGAATGCAGGCTCCATGAATAAAGGCATGAGCCGGCGGACAAATTGTCCCATAACTTGGGTGAAAATATATCTTTTTTCATGATTCAAAGTTCATATGCAAGAAGAAACCTGTACCTATAATATCGTAGCACAGAAAAATAAGTTTCGATATTGCGCCGTCACACAATCGTGCCGTTCAATCGAAACTGGTATTACAAAGACAGAGAAAATCGAAATCATTACCACAATAGTTCATAAAATGAGCTGAAAATTTCGTTACATCCTCCCGAAAGCTATGCAATAATTCGTATAGACGAATAAAATCGCAAGTGTTTTCTTCCTAAACGCCGAGCTGCGCCTAAGTGGTTCAGGAAAGCGTGACTACCTGCACTACCGGTTTCGAGATGTTGGCTCTCATCAGTGCAGGGCTGTCCCAGATAGCATTCTTGACCGCTATCTGGTGCGAACCTGACCCAACGTAAACGCATCTCAGCATTTATACCACATGAGGCATTTAACGTACGCGAAATGAACGCGAATGCCGAACTTCACCTGGCAAAGAAAGAAACACTCCAGAACAAGATCCATTTCTGGTGAAATGGGAGTTGCTGGTTGCCCGACTGGCACATTTTCAACTAGGAAAAAGCCAGTTTCGGAAGGAAACTCTTTATTCGTCAATACGAATTATTGCATAGATTTTGGGAGGATGTAATCCAGAACATTGGCGAGGAAAGTAGTTGTTTTTCTCTCGTGATCTATATCATTTTCGTTTATTTCATGAACTATTGTGGTAATGACTTTAGGTTCCTCTCGTTTTGTGACCATTGCATTCCACTTTGAGTATTTGGCTTTTTCCTAGTTGCAAACCCAATATTGTTGAATTCGTTATAATAATCTATGATCGATTATGGAATAAAATGCAGGGTGTTCCATATGAGAATAGAAAGTTGATGTCATTTGCAGGAAAACCGGAAGATGAAAAATAAATTTTGAAATGTGAGAAGGGGCGCACTAGTGAGCATATTCGATGTTCTAGATATTGTAAATATAGCTAGGAAACTAATGGAACATGGGGGGTAAACCATGAATCTGTGTCACCCGGTATTAGAGTGGTTTCAAAAATTTTTCGTCGACCATATCTCTCCTAAATACAGAAACCACTAACAATCTCCCAGTAGCCATAAAAACCAACTTGTCACTGACGTTATTAAGACATTTGATGTTTGACGAAATCATCAAGATGGAATAGCTATTTGTATTACTAGGGAGGAAAGTGCCACTTTTCCTCCCGCAGGATGTAGTTTACTGCCCGACGCGAAGCGGAGGGCAGTAAACATCCAAGTTGTAGTATTGATAACGAAAGTTCGTTGTTTATACGTTTTTGAAGTGGGAATATTTATGACTAAAAGATTGTCTTTGTCTTCAATATCATCCATAGTCATTTTAATAAGCTCATCACATCGACATGCTCCAGAAATTCCAATAACAAGGACTACCTATGAATATTTTATATCAAAAATTAAATTATTTGCATGGGATTTCATTTCTTACCTTCATTAATAAAAAAACATCATCAGGGCTTCCATTAAGAATGTATTTATTTCCCCTCTTGTAAAAGTTTTAGCTTTATTTGGTTTGTATCCGGCATTTTGACGTTTTAGAAATGCAATCAACTTTGGATATTTAATATCGACATTGTCCTTCATTTGTATCATTGTGCGTAGCATTGAATATTTAGACCAAAGTGTTGAAGCTTTCAATGATTTTCCTTGTTGTGAAAAATATGCCAGTAAAACATTCTCTGAATATTTATGTATCTTGTTGTCTTCAGCCCATTGCTTATATTGTGCATATTGTTTTTCATACCTGTCTTTAGATTTTTGTGGTAGTAAGGTTAATGACGCTATGTTGGCTTGTTCCTTAATATTAGGTGGTGTATTTGGAAATTCAAAATCACTTGAATCGCTCTCTATTTTTCAAAAATTCAACTAAGTTTAATGAATGTAGCGACTTTGCACCTTAAAAGTCAATCGCCGTGTTAACTGTCAGTGAGCCACAGCATACTATATGCTTTTCTTATTCTGAACTCAAAAAACGTATATCTAAGATTCCTGAAGTTGAAATTAATTTGTATTGAAGAACTACGTTGGAGTTTTTACAAAAAAACAGGATATACAGGATGTTCTAGATATTATGGATACAATATACAATATGAATATAATGAATTCACAAGTTTCATCGTTTACAACTTACTTGAAATGAGGGGGAGGAAAAGTACTTTTCCTCCCTAGGGAGAAAAAGTATGACTTTTCTTTCTGATTTGAGGGAGGAAAGTGTGTACTTCTCTATAGGGGTAGGAGGAAAAATAAATTCCTTTCGTGTTACAAAACATTGATTAAAATCGGTTGAGAAACGTCAAAAAGTTATTCATTATTCCAGAGTTTTTGGGATTTTTGATTCTCATATCTATACTATGAAAATATGATGTACAGTGGGGCTCAAATTAAAAGTAACGACTTCTGTGAAAATCCCTTTAAAATTTCAGTTTATGCACCCAGACTAATATCTATTCCAACCGCCCGCTGTTTCAATCACTTATTTCTTATGGTGAGTTGTGGTACGAGATAGTCAGATATCTGAATATTTCTAAGATTTGGGGTTAATATTCACATCGCTAGAGTAATATTTTATGCTTCATCTTATGAAGCTGACTCATGGTTATTCATTGTTTGATTCTAGTTGATTCTATGGATTGATAGATATAGTTGAAGTACTTCTTGAATAAAGCGGCATCGGTATAATTAATTTTTTTTTAAATTGAAGTTTGTCGTTAGTATATCCTCCCATTATTTTTCCCATGAAATATATTTCTTTAATCGTTCAGAGTTATTTTTCTCTGAATACCTATTTTTGATATAAGAACTAATAATTCTCATCAGCATGTGCGATATGAAAACGGTATACACATAATTATCTTGAAACGCGAATATCTACCTACTTCCAGAAATTTTATTTTTAAAGTATAATACTTGAGCTTCGATAAATCGTGCAGATAAATTTGAAAAACAGGGTTATTGATCGATTTGATAAAGTTCAGTGTCTCCCATGTCCGTTAATCACAAAAATATTACTTTGCTTCAGAACAGTGTTGTGTCATCAATTTGATATCTCAAAGGACATAGGAGATACTGAACCGAACCAAATAAGTAGACAATATTTCATGATGCATGATTCTATACCTAGAAAATAATGACGGATTCTCATTCAAGATCACTCGGAACATACCTGTACTAATTTTCATCATCATAAAATACAGGGTGTCCGAATTTTTTTTTTATTATTTTTTGATTGATGAAAAAATTGCCTACCCACCCTTTTTGTTTTCTCAGACACATTGTATATTTGAATGATAATAATCGGGGCTGATATGTTCGAAGTAGTCCTAAATATCCATTCGACATTAGTTCTTCCCAAACATACCAACAGTACTACATTTTCTGATCAAGTATACAAAAAATATATCTATTAATCCGATTTTTCGGTCACTCTTTGTTTTATGATGATGAAAATCGGTACAGGGTTACATTGAGTGATCTAGGTTCAGAATCTATCATTAGTTTTAGTGAAAAAATAAAATACCCAATAGTAATTTACGAAATATGGGTCAATAAAATTGGTCGCAGTTGATGGCCACGATAACAGTCCAAGAATAAAATCACTTTTTTTGTTTGATGGATATTTCAAATACCTATACAACAAAAAAAAGTTTTTCGAAATCGATCAGATAAGATAATACGGATTTTAGAGGCGGTGGTAAAGTTCTTAAAGTGGACACACTGTATATATAGCACGTGGTCACAGAACATAACATGCAGTGCACTGTTAAATACCAGAATGTTTGATGTGTATTTTTGACTTTTTTTTCAATATAAATAAATAAATTTATTAAATCCTTCATGATAAAATGTTATTTTGGTTTTGAAATCTATGATCTGCATGCTGATAATAATCACACTGTAGATATCCTTGTTTATGAAATTCATATTTCCACTCGAAAGAGCATTTTATGTGAACCAGTTCTGCTTTGTAAGAAATCAAGAGTTTCAGTGTTTCAGTTTGAAAAAAAATCATTTTCAAAAATATTCTCAAAAATCGTTATTACTCTGAAACAGTTGAAAATAGTAATGAATTACCTTATATATTTTATGGTTTATATCAGAGTAATATGTAGAATGAATAATGAAAAAAAAAGTGGTGTTCTATTGGAAATAAGGGAATTCTATTTTCTTTCCGTATTCGTAAGTGCGCTATGCCAGATTCATCCTCGGATTTACCCAAAAATTTTCAGAGTTTTATTCAACTCAGCATAATATTGAAAATGAATGGGTTACCTAAATGAACGTGAAATCATAAAATTCAGTACTATATCTTTATTGTTTCATTACAATTTTATCGATCTTTTTCTCCTGGTTATACAAAGTGTAATTCAATTGATGGTTAGAAATATAGGATGTAGACATTTTGAGAAAAGTTCATATGAACATAATATATGCCCTGAACCTCTTAACTTTAAAGCAATAGGGTGTTGAAATTTTAAGAAAAAAAATTTCTTATAG